TATTATAAGAAATTTATCAACTGTGATATATGAAACTAATATAAATAAACTAATATATGAAACTAATATAAAACAATATGCAGCCTCCATAATCATAGAACTGAAAGGAACTAGACTTGCTAGAATTTCATTAATTTTAAGGGAAAAATCTACTGGAAATTTTTGCTCGCCTGCGGACAAGCGAGGTAAACATTTTACTTTCCTCCACAAGTTTACACTCGTCTCAAGACGTGCGGACGTGGGATTTCGCAGGCCTGCCCAAAAAATTGTCAATTCAGTTAGACTAATTTCTATATTTTAGTTACACAGTGGGTAAAGAGAGAGAGAATTTGTAATAATTTTCGTGTATTTTGCAGTGTACATGTGTGTCCGACAGACAAAAAGTTTCAAGGGTCTTGTTCTCAATCACTTGAAAAAACAGAAAGAAGGAAGGTTTATGGTTTTCATGAGAGACGACAAAGAAGTTGACTTTTATGGCTATCTGTTCTTCAAGCTCGGGTTGCCGGTTCTCTATTTACGCGTAGTCGCTATGGTTTAACCTTTTGTGGTAATCTTAGAGCTTGGAATTTTGTTTTTGTTTGGTAAGGCAGAATTTATTGGTGATGTTGCAGGTTGATGGATTGTCTTGGGAAGTCCAGAACGAGCATGTAAGGTCTGACTCTTAGAAAGAATAATGATTTGCGTTATTCAATGAGTTTGGCTGGACTGATAGAAAAGAAGTTGCTTCTTTTGCAAAATCAAAGAATAACCCATTCGCCACAGATTTATGTTCTGTCCTCTGAGTTTTGGTGAATTTTGATAATACAGATGGCTCAAAGTGTGCTCAGCGGCAAGGAGTCTATCAGTAGACCTAGTGACCGACCCGATTTCCCATTCATTGAATTCGCGGGAAAATCAATACCATTGCTTTCGATACTGTTATTATTGTTATTGATCTTATGATTATTGGAATTGTCATTAGAAATTTTTGACAATGAAATGATACAAAAAACCCTTCCTAAAGTGAAGGAAAAGGGTAAACAGGTGAATAGTAGTTCTTGATAACTGCTATTGGTGATTAAGAACCTTGTAGAGCCATCTATGTGTAAATACAATAAAAAACGTGTATCAAGTGGGTATGGCATATATTCTTGCGCGATGGCAAAGGGTTAATAAGCTGTAAGGGGCAAGAACACATAGGCCACAATCACATTTTTTATAAATTTGTAGAAAGACATGATACAATATTCACTGCAATATTCTGTTAATCAAAGAATAAGAAAACGATAATAACAAGCTTCAATTTCCACCTTGTACTGCCTAGGCTAATTTTGGATTTTTTTGTTTTTCTTAAAGAAAAAATGTTTGTAGTGCCATCTCGAATATGATGTAGATAATAGTTATGGAAGATACTAAGTCCTCCTGCAACAATTTTTCAAGTTATATATATCAGCCAAACTCTAATCCACTTTTTTGAAATTACCCCACCCCATTTCATGATTATAACTCAGACATGCATGCACAACACTCAAGATAGAAATTCATCCCATTCTCATTAGATGCCTGTTTTTTCTCTTTGTCCTTGGCCAGGAATCACAAGATGAATATAAACAAAAGAAAAGTATATTCATGTTCAAGAATACCAATTTGGGATCACATGTTGTGCACTACTAATATCATCAAAGGACACTGCTTTTCCAGAGTGGATTTAGTCCTACGTATGACCCTCCCACCACCGAAAGCAGGTATGTATTCGTATGACACATTGAATCAGTAAGTTGTGAATCAGTTAGGCTTTTTCCATGATCAGTTACAGTACAAAAGGCAATCTGATAATCTACAGGTACAAATCAACAGCCTATTTGAAAGAATAGAGTGACTTTTATACTAATGCCTTCTATTGCAGATAAAAGATGGAAAAAAAATTACTGTAAGAAATTCCATATTATTAGATTACTTCCTTTTTTTTGTCTAGTGAGTACTGTGAGCGCATTGGCAGAGTTAGCCGAGCACCGGATAGCTCAGCCTTAATGTTGATGATGAAGGAGGAGAAGAAGTTTGTAAAAACCTGAAAAAACAAAACATAAAGATGAACAAAATCAAGGTGACTTGCCTCGCTGTTGAAGATATTCAGCAAAAGTATGGGTTGTTGTTTTTTTTGTTCCATATGAGATCTCTGGCTTCAGGCTTTTGTTCGATATTTTCCTATTAATTTTCTTAATGATGACAAAGCAAAGATTATGGTGTTGATACTCTTAACTTTAGGCCTTTTAACTGTTGCATAAATATTTCGTAAGGTAAGAGACTTAGTAGAGGCTGAAGTCTAGTTTTAAAGGGTTTATCACCACAGCAAAGTGCCAAGCTGTTTAGTGTGCACACGTTTTAGAGGCACAATCACACTTATAAGATATGAAGAACACTCCTGGTGAGGAATGTCTTGCCATGACAGGTTAAGACGTCATCATTGCTGTGAATGGGTTACACTGCCTCCTCCTCCTCCTCCTCCTCCTTGTATGATTAATCAATTAACTAATTTTATTACAGATTATTCAGTTGATGACGAGGAATGAGTGTTGCAGGAAAAGGCAATGGATGCCCAGTGCCTGATTATATTAAGGCATCAGAAGAATTCTCTCTAACTCCCTGAAAAATCCACAAAAATTAGACCGAGCCCAAGTGAGATTTAGTGTTTATTTGATAGTAAGTGAAATATAATAGACACTTAGTCATATCCTGTAATCTAAATACTAATAGCAACATAGTGTAAATATTATCTACTGTGGATTTCCCTAAGTAATTTAGTTATATATTGTGCATTTGCTTCTCTCTCATTGCAGCTCTTTATGAGCTTTGGTTTGAGGCCACTATGCAGTGCACAGTTAATGAAAAAGAACGAAAGAAGAAAGAGGAAGAAAAAAGCAGAGAGGAAACAAGAGGGAAGATCAGACAATAGGGGCGAGGGTCCGTCCAGGAGTTGATGGAAAGGTGGTAGGGGAGAGGAAACACAAATTGGGTAGAGGGTTTGGAAAGGAATTAGACGATTGACTAGGGCGAAGAAGGTGGCAAGGCAGTGAGACGCATCGTATAGGCAAAGGGGGCTGGTAAGGGAGGGGAAGAGCCGGAATTTCGCAGAGGGGGTGGTAGCAGAGGGGACGACCCAGGGTTTTGCAGTCGGGGCGGGAAGGAAGAGGTGGACGACCAGACTTCGGGAGTAAGTGGGGTCGGGGAGGCAAACGACAGATTTTGGCAAGGGGGGCAGTAGAGGAGGTGCGTAGGGGTTGGATAGGGGAGGGAAGCGACCATCATTTGGGACAAGTGGTTAGGAACTGTGAACATGACAGGGAAGGAAAGAATTCAGAGAATTAGTACATTTCTTTGCCTTTTCTGTAATATAAAAATGTTAATAATTTTAAGTGTTCTCTTTTATTTACCTCTCTTGAATGAAATATTATATAGCTTTTCAAACACAACAGTGATAGAATCTATGATTTATTTTTCATATGATTAGATATCAGGTAATTTCCTTCATTTTAAGTATCATATTTCAGCAAATATCCTTCAAGGAATTGGAAGCAAAAATATATTTTTTTGAATGAAAGAATTGCGTCTTGACAGTATGTTTCTTACGTAAGACCCCAAAACTTCAACTTGTTCATGGCAACTTTCCCATTAAATTCTTTTACTAATGGAGTTTATCTTCAGAGAATCAAAAGGATTTTCTATGATAGCGATGTTGCTCATTTGAAAGTATGCACTTTGGAAGGTGTTCAGAGACTAGTTTCCTGAAAATGTGCTTAATTAAATGTTTTGGGTGAATTAGTGGCATAATCTGCTGCATGAATGCACTGTAATCTTATGTTTGCAGTGCAGTAACATGAAAATAGGATGCTTCAGTTACAGATGAAAGTTTAAGCAAAAAAAATATTTAGTAAATGTATTTTCATGCAAGTAGTATTAGAACACTTTTCGACTCCAACCACGTATAAAAAGTTTTATCGCTATGTGAATTTAGTCAAGAGCTCTAGAAACGATTCATGAAAATTAAACCTTTCAGATTGAAAAAGGCTTACCTGAGAAAAGCTGATGTGCTAACAGAGAGTGGCAGATTAATTAACATAAATATTGGTTCACTGAAGAGCCTTATTTTGTCAATGTATAAAGTCTCCTATCACTGGCGTATGTAACTTGTGCTTAAAAATGTAAAGAAAAGGGAGGAACAGGTTTCATAAACTGCACCAGCTATGGATATAATTCCATCATTTAACCCATTCACGACGGGCGGTAAAAAATGAACAAAAAATTGGAAAAGCTGTGCTCATTTTTCATACTTTTTGTGAAATGTCTATACACAATTGGCGGGAAAAGTATTTTTTACTGTGCTATGAATATCGAGGTTATTTTTATTATAAACATTATAATTACCTATAATGTTAAAACATAGTAACAAGCAAAATAAATAACGTAAAATATTTTCTTAATTAATGAACAAGGGTAAACGGGAGAGACAGGCAGTACAAGTACAAGGTAGCAGCTATGTGTATAAAACATTAACACAAGTAAAACTCACAGTGGCAATGGTCACGATCACGTGACACCGGCCATGAAATGGGTTAAACCAATATATGACCAAGGCTGAGATGAAACTCAGGCTGTCTGAACGTAACTAAACCAGGACAAACTTTTGGGCATATTCTGAAGTTTTTCATGTTAATGAACCAATTAAGAATTTCAGACATAGTGGATATCTGATCAAGGATCTATGAACTTAGTTTACAGCAAGATACAGAAAAGAGTAACAGAAAGCAGCATAATCTAGATAAAGGATTGGTAATTAATACCTGAAACGTTCCAAATATAAAAAGAGCATTTGAAATAGCTGTGAGGAAGAAAATATGGGGGGAAGACTGAGATTAAGCAAGAAGGAATTAGTGTCCCAGATAACGATATACTTCCTTTAAGGTGATAAAGAATTACATATAGAAAGATCTTTTAAATGTGTATTTTATAGATTGTTACATTATTCAGATGTGTATAGTTGGATTACTATTACCAGTACAATAATTAGGGAAAATGATAAGGACAAACAATAATTAGTAAATTAATAATAATAACAACAACAAACCCAATAATAATAATGATTATAATAACAATCTAACAGTAATAATAACATCAATAATACTAATTCATGAATAACAAAACAGCACTATTATATTGCCTAATATAATTGGGGCACGTTATTTCAATCAGTATTGTTACTATATTGTTGAAACCATGATACAAGCATATACATACATACATATATTAAAAAACACACCACACCCCACACACACACACACACACCACACACAACACACACACACCACACACACACACACACAAACACCTCTAACACACACACACACACACAACAACCACACACACACACAACACAACCACACACACTATATATTTAAAATTATATTATAATATATCTATATATATATATATATATATATATATATTATGGGTGTGGTGTGTGTGTGTGTGTGTGTGTGTATATATATGTTATATATATATATATATATATATATATATATATATATATATATATATATATAATATATTATATATTATCTATATATTATATAATACATATTATATAATATATATATATATAATATAATATATTATAATATAATTATATATATATATATCTAATATATATATATATATATATATATATATATATATATATATATATATATATATAATATATATATAATATATATAGATATATATACTAGATATATATTATATATATTATATATATATATATATATTATATTTATATATATATATATATTATATGATATACATATTATATAGATAT